GTTTCTTTTCACCATCTCTCTTTTCAATGTATGGAACCTCTCGAGGAATGAGCTTTGTAATGGCTTCCTAGTATTCTTATTTGCCACCTTCTTGAGGGAATTTCTCTTAGTTTGGCATGCAAGCAGTCGCAGATTTCTTCCTATCATAAGAGAGAAGGTACCAGAAATGTGGTTTTCTATAAATTTTACCTTATTTATTTTTTATGATTTCTGCTGCCTTGTCTCGTCAAATGCTCATTATACTTTTCAATTTCATTAATAATTCAGTACACATGAAGAATAATGGCATGGTTCCCGACGATATTTTAAACTTATACTCAATCCACATGAGATTTATGTAAAATAAAATAAAAATCAATTAACTATGCATTGATAATTCACCACATCATCATATTCTTTATGATGTCAGTCTTACATCAAACAAAAAAAACAATAAAAAAGAAACCTTTAAAGGGGTAACTAAACTCATTAAACCTTAAGTTTGTTATTCAGTAATCACCGATTCAAGTTTTTTTAGTACCATTATAGATTTACATAGTGATTAATTTTAAAATATATAAAATTAATTAAAATACATACAAATTAATTTGAAGATCTATATTAATAATTAAAAAAACAGAGAAAGGGGGATACACAGTATTGTCCAGTCAATTGGTTGTGGCTTTATAGGGTGTTTGTTTTTATGATTACTTTTGCTTTTAAAACAAACCACATAAAATAAATATTTAATAAAATATAAAGTGTTGTTTACTGTTTATGAGCCCCAGTTAATTTTGCACTGAAAAAGTAGTTGAATTAAAAGCAGCTTTAAGCTACTTTATTTGAACTATGTAAATGAATTATAATTAACTATTCGCTTTAGAATTATAATTCACTCTACACTGTTTATTTTACAAAAATAAATAGTGCAAAGTGAATTAATTTACTTGCACAGCTCACGTGAATAGTCAATGACATCTCCACTGTTCATGGTCAGACCGAAACCTAGCTAAATGTATTGGACTGGTCTGATTTAATAAAAAAATTTAATTTTTTTATTTTTAATTATGTTTTATTAAAAAAAATTAGTGTTTAACAATATTTAATGACATTACATAAATTAGAAGGAAATCACATGATAGCATAGCATTTGCAGAATTTGATCATAATTCTAATTTTATTCCTAATAATATTTTATCTGATTTTGTTGCACACTCAAAAAACCATGAAAATTATAGTACTTGTCAGATGAATTTCGTACGTGATAGAATTGTAGATAGTTTAATCAAATAATAAAAAATATTTTATATAAAGTATTATTTATTTCAAGATATAATAGCAATAATTAAATCTATAGTATTTAAATGAAAAACTATTAATATTAATATATATCTTTTTTAGTTATTTTATAACCTTAATTTAAAAGGAATTATTAATCAGACATTTTAAATTATTTTTTATTTGATTTTAATTTCAACTACAATATTAATAAAAAAATATATAAATACAAAATCAACCTTAATTAAAAATATTTTTTATAAAATATTTTTTTTAAATCACAATTAAATTACAAATACTACCGGAACACCAAATATACAATCCAAACTATCGGAGTGCGAGGCTGCCATCGGAGGTTAGATGAATTCTTATGTGCTGTACTCACAAGTGGGCAGGCCTAGTTCATATGCTAGACGCCAATCATTTTTTTCCTGCTTTTCCCGATTCAATCCGTGATTCAAGAACAATTCTCCAATTGATGGCGGAACGCAAATATATGCACAGTAAAAATAATTATTTTTAATGATTACTCTCACACCATATATCTGTTAAATTAACTAAGAATAAATATATTAAAAAAAATTATAATTCTTAATAATATGTTTATTGTAAATATAAAATCTTAACCTAAATACAAATAATATATATATATAAATTAAACTAAAAATATTATTTTACTCTTAATAAATAAAACTATGTAAATATTATTTAATAATATCTACATCTTCACTTTTCATGAGACAATTTCATATCATCAATGTATATAAATACCTCATGTTATAAAATAACAACAAAACAGAACACCGTACAATGCCACACATAACAATATTCACAATTACACCCTTATATGTTTTTTTACATTATTTTTCATTTATAGTTTACCCTCTTAAATATCAAAGAATCTCCTTTCTAACATGGAACTTGCTTCGTAGAAGTTTGTGAACCGCAGACCCCGTCTACAAAGACTATAGTTCAATTCACGTTCATTCCAACGGCTAGTCGATCAAAAGACTTAAAATCCCATTCAAAGTAAGCTAGACCAGGCAGATTTAATTTGAACCTGTGTGTTGAACTTGTTAGATTTAAAAAAATAGACAAGAGAGGAAAGGTTGAAGATATGAGACTCTGTTCCAATCACTACAACAAAGGATAAAAAAAATAGCATCAACTGTTATGGAAGCAGTAAATCTTTCCCTGTCAGCATGAATAATAACCATCTTATTTTGTGCAAAAGTAATACCTTGTTGCCAAGCGTGTAAAGACCAACATCTGCATATTATATAAAGTGAGAGCGGCTTGTCTCCTTCCACTACTATGAGTTTGAGCTTTGGTGTGTACGTCTATCACCCTTGCAGTGTTTTACATGCCTACTAGATTTGTAGGGTATTCAGTGGGTCATGGGGATTAGTCGTGGTGCGGTCCGGATACTCTACATAAATAAAATAAAAAAACAAAAAAAAAAAAGTAGAGAGTGGCTCCATATCAGGTAGAGGTCTAGTTTTCAATACTTCCTGGGGTTAATTAGGTTGGAAAACATGTGCATTCGGAAAGTCATTCGGAAAGTCTTCGTAATATGAGTTGAGGAATCCTGATCTCCTGTTCTCATGAAAAAATTATGACAGTGAGTGTCAGAAAGTGGATAGATTAATGAAAATATCCGTATAGAATGAAAAAATAGGACAAAGAATTATGGTAAAGGTAATAAAATTGATGGTGCGTATTTACACCTGCATATTGTTCCACTGGAATTTCATATTACATAGTGTATCTATAAATATAAAAAAAAAACTATAATTCTTAATAATATGTTTATTATGAGTATATAGTTTTAATCTAAATACAAATAAAATATATATAAATTAAACTAAAAATATTATTTTACTCTTAATAAATAAAACTATGTAAATATTATTTAATAATATCTACATCTTCACTTTTCATGAGACAATTTCATATCATCAATGTATATAAATACCTTATGTTATAAAATAACAACAAAACAGAACACCATACAATGCCACACATAGCAGTATTCACAATTACACCCTTATATATGTGTTTTTATTATTATTATTATACATTATTTTTCATTTGTAGTTTACCCTCTTAAATATCAAAGAATCTCCTTTCTAACATGGAACTTGCTTCGTAGAAGTTTGTGAACCGCAGACCCCGTCTACAAAGACTATAGTTCAATTCACGTTCATTCCAACGGCTAGTCGATCAAAAGACTTAAAATCCCATTCAAAGTAAGCTAGACCAGGCAGATTTAATTTGAACCTGTGTGTTGAACTTGTTAGATTTAAAAAAATAGACAAGAGAGGAAAGGTTGAAGATATGAGACTCTGTTCCAATCACTACAACAAAGGATAAAAAAAATAGCATCAACTGTTATGGAAGCAGTAAATCTTCCCTATCAGCATGAATAGTAACCATCTTATTTTTGTGCACAAGTAATACCTTGTTGGCAAGCGCGTAAAGACCCACATCTGCATTATATAAAGTAGAAAATGAATGATAAAAACTTGAAATCAAGAAATTTGTTTTTTTTATAGTTTCAGATTTGAATTATTAGTTGTTTATATGATGACAACTGAAGGCTTATATGATCATTAATTTTAAGACTCGTGGGATTAGTTATGATATACATAAGTTTATCTAGACATTTATATTAATTAAAAAAAAAATAGAGTGGCTCCATACCAGGTAAAGGTATGGTTTTCAATACTTCCTGGGGTTAATTAGGTTGGAAAACATGTGTATTCGGAAAGTCTTCGTGATATGAGTTGAGGAATCCCTGATCTCATGTTCTTATGAAAAAATTATGACAGTGAGTGTCAGAAAGTGGATAGATTAATGAAAATATCCGTATAAAATGAAAAAATAGGACAAAGAATTATGGTAAAGGTAATAAAATTGATGGTGCGTATTTACACTTGCGTATTTTAGGCCACTTAGAAGATATTGTTCCACTGGAATTACATATTATATAGTGCATCTTGTTTTTCTAAAAGTCATTTCTAAAAAAAAATGCATTTTATATTTATAAATAACCAAGATCATTATCTCTTAGTTGTTATGAGATAAATCATGTTGTCATAGTCTTTTAGACAAGGGGCTTAGAAAGTCGCACATGATTGATGTTTCCATAAATAGCATCAACTTTTATGTGTGTCCACACCTATATATAGCAGACACTCCAAAAGTTATTATTCTACTATTTTGTTTAAACATCTTGTGAAAAGAGAGTTACCTTTTGTGTTTATAAGTGATTAAAGTAATTGTCTCTTGATGGAAGTGAGATTGATGGGCTTATTATGGCCTCTTAGACAAGGGATTTAGGTGGTAGTTAATGTATCTATAGATGACACCAATGATGATGTGTGTTCACACTCATATATGATAGGCTTCCTAAATTATATTATTTTAGTAAAATCATATAATATGTTAATTGATGTGAAAATCATCAAAAATTAATTATATTAAACAGTTAACTTTCTAGGAGGAGCCAAATGTGAGGTTATGGATAATTACTTTTAAGTTAAAATTCTCTTAATTCTTTACTATTTATAAATATTTTAAATTTTAAAATTATTTTTTGTTATTTGATATTATATTTGTATTTTATAATTTAAAGTTAATTTATTATTATTATTATTATTATTATTATTATAATAGAGTACTACATTGGTCACAATGGTGAAATACAAAAGAAATGCAAGGCTCTGGAATACCAGGAACACCATCGGCTAACAATGAACTCAGAGGACGACAACGACAACAACAGAACACAATCAATTTTCACTCTTAACAACGACAACAACAGAACACAATCAATTTTCACTCTTACATGGATTATTGAATAAACAGACACAACAATTCCTCAAGGCTGAGATTGGACATAAGTGTAGAGATTATGAGAACAGCCTCTTGACACTGCTACTGCCGCTTTCCATAAGCTTTTTGCCAATCTTGTACGTAGCATAAGCATCAATGGTTGCAGACTCAATCTGTTCAGGGCAAAGAGTATGATCAAACCAATTTGACCATAAAACATTGAGAGGTTTTGAGTCAGATTTTAGTGAAGCTATTCTGTAAGCCAATTCCCTTGCACTATAAACAGCGAATCGAGGTTGGTCATATATTTTAGCAGCCAGTTCACTCAACTCCACCGAATTCCGAACCACCAGACCGTCAACACATCTTAGCCTTTGAAGATCTTCCTTGACATGAACTCCTACAAACATAATGTCCTTAATTGAAAGAAAGCGTTTTAGAGATGGCGAGATATGATTAGGAGAGAGCCTTATTAGGACGCAGCCAAGTTTGGTGCAGAAAGTCAACACGGCAATGTGATGTTCTACTCTCCTAGGAAGGTGCTCTGACTTGTCAGACTGAGAATGATTCTCGGTGTTTCTGCCAGACGTGCTTCCTGATCTGCTAGCAGAAGTCCCTTTGAAGCCCCACTCGATGTCAAACCCAACAACCATGTCACCAATTTTAATCATGTCCTGCAATAATATATAGAGGCAAAGATGCGAATCATCATCCGATACCACCTCTGTCACCAGTGTAGCACCATCGTTCATTGTAAGCTGAGGTCCACGAAGTGTTTCCATTGTTGCATACACCGAGTGAACGCTGAGTGAACTTCTATCGGGTGTATGATTACACGGATTCTGATTTTAATGCTGTAACACGAAATAGAAATCCCAGATGAGGGCATGATCAGAAGATGATTAATTATGCAAGAACAGCAAATCAATGAGGATATCTACTGGCTCTTAGCAATTCAGCTTTGTCTTATCTACTGTACTTGTAGCATTTCTGTATCAATCTGCAGTTGATGCAACCATAGGATATTCAAAAAAAAAAAAATCAAAACAATCATGTTCGACAGTAGCAACTAGCAATGAAACACGAAATGAATCATATTCTGACCCAGAAAGCAGCCTTACACAAATTTCATTTACAGCAAAGAATTACAGAAACTTTACCAGATAAATGAGAAAAGAAACGAAAAAAAAATCATAAAGATACTTATCTATCATAGTAACGATTCGCGGGCCAATCTCATGAAGAAAAAATAATGTACATTAACTGAGAAGATGTTGCAGAAACAAATACTCCACAATTCCTGCATACTAGATTTTAAGATTTTGAAGTTCTGATATTATAGATTCTGAAAGATTAGTTGCATAAGAAATGTTGTCCTTAAACAGAATACAAGATGTAATAGTCATAACAGGTGAAAAAATAAAATCTATCTGTCGAAACACCTTCCTGGAGGCTCAAAACTTGATGCTAGGAGTGCAGATGAACGTCTTCAAGCAATTTTATCAGTGCATAAAATGTATCCTAAGATAATCATACAAGACTCCAAACATAAAGACTAATGCCAAAGGAAAAGTGCAGAGGAGAAAATCCGAAACAATGTGCTATCAGGATCAAGAACAAATAACCTCATCAACCCACTGCGATTCATAACACAAAGGCAGGCCATCATATCAGAAGGAAAGGAAAAATAATCATATATCAAATATTAAATACAAGAACTCTTAATGCCAATCTGTTTCAGAGCCAAAATTTCCTAGAAAACTTGTTTGAACGTCCATTTACGTATACAAAAAATTGAAATGAAATGAAAGACACATTAAGGAGGGAGAAGGAAACAGCCAACTGTGAATTCATAAAAATTAGAGGCTGCTCTTTCGTGTTCTGACGCAAAATTTCTCAGAAAATGCCCCCATTGCTATGACAAAAGACATGGAGAGGGGAAAAAAAATAACTCTCAAGCAAATCATACAAGAATTTCAAATCCAAAACAAATGGTCTTTAGATATAATAACAAAACCATAACCATATTTCCCTACCTATTCTTTAAAGCATTACTAATTTAGAGAGTCCGAAAGAGGGAGAGAGGAATAAGAACTTACATAGAAGCTATGCAGCATTTTCTACCAGTATCAACAATGACAAAGGAGAGGGTACCTTAAATTCATACCTCGAAAAAAACAGGCATGCAAATTCATGCCTTAAATTTAGGTACTACTGCTATTTTAGGATAGGATGGTCAACATGGATTGATCAAGATAACTGAGAATCTTAAGGTTTATCCCTAACCATCAATTTTTCCGAGAAACTTGTCATTTTTGCCAGACGCCAAAGAATCTAGCAGAACCACGCATACCGACCATATCATAATGTACTGAAAGGATCAACACTAACCACAGCCCATTAGACATGCTGACTGTTGCTCCTAATAGAGAGAAAACCCATCTCTTAATCGCTGGTAAAGTCCACGACTGTTTCTCCAACCTTATATGCAAGTCTAATATTTTAATATGATCAAAGCTTAAGATATTCTTTATGTCAACATGACCATATAAAGCCATGGCTGGCTAAGAACCTTAGCTTGCCAATTCACTCAGCTCCATTGGGACCTCATCACAACTGATCCATAGTCATTTCTAGCTTTTCAATTTTAAATGAACCACGACAAAAATAGCATCTTTGAAAGTGTAGGAAAGCACAAGGAAAAGAGTTCCACGTGAGAAAGAGTTGTATATTAATCCGCAATCTTAAAAAGAATACACAGTGTATAAGGTTTTACAGATAGATTATCTTTAACCTTCTCCTCAACGTTAGCTATTTTAAAACTAAAGGATAATATCACAACGTTAACGAACAAATTAGTTATCCCGAAATACCAGCAAGAAATTTCATTTTTGAATTCAATCTCCAATATGCCCCCTCAACCGAATGGGTAGGTCTTGAACACGAAGGTTATCCTGCAGTAGCTGAAAACAAATGGCTGACAGTGGCTTAGTTAATAAATCTGCAAACTAATCCCTAGTCGATACAAAGGAGACCTGAAGTTTTTTTTGCTAAAACTTGATCCCTGACATAGTGAGAATCAATTTCATTATGTTTAGTTCTGGCATGAAAAATTAGATTAAAAAACAAGTAATTAGTTGCTCTAATATTATCACACTATATTCTTGGATTGGTCACTAAGGAAAGCTGCAGATCTTAGAGAATGGATTGGAGCCAATGCATTTCAGCTGCTGTATTTAAGAGGGATTTATAATTAGATTCAGTATTGCAATGAGTAACATTGCAATGAGTAATAGTTTGTTGTTGCAGCTCCAATTGATTAGATTGGTTCCATGAAAAATACCATAACCCCAATACTATGTTTATCATCTTTGTCACCAGCCCAATCAGCATTATTAAACCCCTGAAGAGAGTGATCTTATATACTTCTAAAATGAATGTCATAGGTCACTATAGATTTTAAGTATCAAAGGATGCATTTGACAGCTTGCTAATGATTGTTCTTGGATTGATGCATGAAGTTACTAACACGGTGAACCACAGAAGCAATATCTAGATGAGTGAATTATTAAGACAGCTAATGGCAAAACGAATCCACAGACTTCTAGTTGGAAATCATGTGTATATTAATGCAAACAGATAGTGCAGCAGTATTTTAGAAAAATAATTGTAAATCATTCTATATTTAACTTACTATAATTTCTCTGTAATTCCTTATATTCAGCATATATTGTATATAAAACTGATCCTCAACAAAATCAAAAATGTGTGCAAAATTTCTGTTGAAAATACTCTGTTAGAAGATGACTTACATAACCAACCAACAGATTATGAAGTTCTTTGAAGGTCAAGGGTTTCTCCCTCACGCGTGAATTGGTGTAGCAATTTCCCTAAAATCATAACTTAAACCATAAATAATGCAAAGAGTTAGATCATCATCAGAGATGAGATGATCGATTAGAGCAATTTCATCGACAGACACTTTTATTGCATAGAGATACTCCTGACATCGATCGATTTTCTTTTAAAATCAAGGTAATTTCTTTCTTGAGTTGCATAGCTCTCATTTGAGATAGACTAGCATACATGTGATTTAGTTTTTTCCATGTCTCATGAGATGTTTTAGTGGTGGAAATAAGGGGAGTGATTAAGGTGGAGGTGAAAACAGGAATCGCATTGAGAATTAATTTATCATGCTAAACTCAATGGGTTATTTTCAAAGTAGATTGGGGAGTGCTATAAGATGAAAGGTACATTGATAGACCAGTGACATGGTCCATTAGATCATACCCAATTGAAAGAGTTTTGGATTGGGCACGTCATTATAAAAAGGTGGAAGGGATTAATTTCTCATTGATTTGAGTTGTAATATTGAGAGTAATCTGCGGATTTTCTATGTGGGAGGTGGACTGGTTGGTCAGATTTTGAGACGGAGACATGTTAGCAGCAAGGATCATAGTCTCATTTGAGTTATGGTGCTTTGATACCATAAAGAAAAGAATAATAAAGAGGAGAGTATAATAGCGGGGAGTGTAACGAATTACATAAATCGCAATAGCACTTTTGGGAACTCTTTCTAGAAGAATCATCATAAACCAACCGGTTTCTCACGAATCCTTGGGCCCTAATAAAGACAACTAGTATAATAACAAGTCATTAGGCCGACCCAATACAAATCAAAGAAGACATCAGCCCTAATGCTAATTTTGTGACCAAATTGGTCACACAGCCAAGACATGACCCCGCTTGAATTCTCACACAGTCACAGCAAATTACACTTCTACCTTTAATGCCACAAATAATAAATGGCTCATGGACTCTGTTGCATCCCATAATATTATTGGTAATCTCAACAACCTATCAATTCACTCAGAATATGATGGAATTGAGGAGGTTGTGCTCGGTGATGGTTCAGGTTTGGCTGTCTCACATGTAGGATCCGTAACTTTAAAATCAAAACACAAAACTTCTATTCTTAAAGACACTTTATGTTCCAAATATCTCTAAAAATCTTATATATGTGCATCATTTTACTACTCAAAATAATGTCTTTATTGAATTTCACCCGTCTTATTTTTTTGTGAAGGACACGAACTTGAGGGTGATATTAGCAAAAGGTGCACGTGAAAATGGTCTCTAATATTATCACACTGTAGTCCTGAACTGGTCACTAAGGGTAGCTGCAGATCATGGAGAATGGATTGGAGCCAATGTATTTCAGCTGTTGTATTTGAGAGGGATTTATAATTAGATTCAGTATTGCAATGAGTAACAGTTTGTTGTTGTTTGCAGCTCCAACTTATTAGATTGGTTCCATGAAAAATACAATAGGCCCCAACACTATGTTTATCATCTCTATCACCAACCCAATCAGCATTATTGAACCCCTAAAGAGAGTGATCTGATGTACTTCCAAAATGAATGCCATAGGTCACTGTGGATTTTAAGTATTAAAGGATGAATTTGACAGCTTGCCAACGATTGCCTTTGGGTTGATGCAAGAATTTACTAACACGGTGAACCTCAAAAACAATATCTAGACGAGTGAATTATTAAGACAACTAATGGCAAAATGAATCTACTAGACTCCTAGCCAGAAATTATATATATATATATATATATATATATATTAATGCAAAGAAATAGTGAAGCAGTATACTAGAAAAACAATCGTAAATCATTCTATATTTAACTTACTATAATTCCTCTGTAATTCCCTTACATTCAGCATATATTGTGTATAAAACTGATCCTCAACAAAATCAAAATCATGGAAAATTTCTATTGACAATACTCAGTTATACTCTCCTCTTTGTTATACTTTTATTTGTGGTATCAAAACACCATAACTCAA